GTGTGGAGCGGGAAGGGGCAGGGGCAAACTCTCAGGGCACTGGAACAAATGTATGTCCACATCGTCACCGTGGCCAAGGTTGGGCCTTCATGGGAACAAAGCGAGCTCATATCCACTAAACTTGAAAAGCTGGATTGAAATGTTACGTTTATCACAATAACAGAAGAAACCAGTGAGAAAGAAGCTACACACACACACACACACACACACACACACACACACACACACACAGAAAGCCATGCTTGTAGTACTTTCATTCAAGGGCAGTGGTGGTTCAGAATTCGAATGGATTTTCCCCTTCCATGTGAGAGACCCCTGCTCACATCCTACGCACCCACTCCCCACACCACCCACCCACCCATCCACCTCCATCTGTCAATACAGGCTTGTGTGTTGACTGGCCTCTGTTTCAGGGAGCCTCCAAGGTTAAGATCACACCCAGAAGATAGGCCTGGCCATCTCCTTCCAATGAAAACCCGCCCAGTCGCCAATAACTGGATCCACAACGGATGGCAGGGTGGGTGTGGCACTGGGCAGCATTTTGCTCTGTTGGGCATGTGGTCGCCATGAGTCAACACAGCAGCAGCAGTGGCAGCTACCAGCAACAAGGTTCTGTTCAGAGGCCCATAAAACCAAGCTCTCAGTTCAGGGTCCTCTGTAGGTGGTAAACTGACAATGAAGAGCAAGGCAATGGTCACCCCAAATTAAGGATTACATTTAGAGAGCTTCTGAGGTGCTGGCAATGGTCTGTTTCCTGGAGTAGGTGGTGATGATACAGGTGTTTGCTTGATAATCACTTTCTAAGTATGGATGCCCTACTTCTTAGCGGCACAGTGGGTTGTTGACATGTTGATTTGCTAAGGGCAAGATCAACAATTCAAACCCACCAGTCTCCAAGGGAGAAAGACGAGCCTTTTCTCCTCCCGCAAAGAATTACCACCTCGAAAATGCAATGTAGTAAAATGCAATTTAGGATCGCTATGGGTCACAATCGACTCCAAAACAGTGGCTGACGGGCAGAGCCATGGGGGTACTGTTGGGTAAGCACTGGGCCGAAAAACAAAACCAAACTCACTGCTATCCAGTGGGTGCTGACCCATAGCCACCCTTCAGGGCAGGATAGAACTGCCCCGGTGAGTTTTCGAGACTGTAACTGGTTCCCTGAGTAGAAAGTCCCATCCTTCTCCCGCCGAGCAGCTGGTGGTTTCAAACTGTGGGCATTTCGGATCACAGCCCAACACAAAACCACTATACCTCCAGGGACCCTGAGCCCTGGTCAGTGGTCACCACATAAAAAGGTCAGTGGTTGGAACTCACCAGCCATTCGAGGGAGAGATGAGGCTGTCTCTCTCTCAGAAACCCTATACAGGGTGGCTATGTGCCAGAATGGGCTGAATGACAGGTTTTTATGACTTGTATTTGTATTTAGCCCACACAGTTAAAAGAGAAGGAAGAATTTTTACATCATCTTTAGCCCACACAGTTAAAAGAGAAGGAAGAATTTTTACATCCAGAAACTTCTGCAATTTAACACCTGGCTTGAGCCAACACCAGAACAATGCACACAAGAGAAAGCAAACGTGGTTATTTAAGTAAAAGGCACTCCCTCCCAGCCTAACATGCGGTTAGCATTGGGGTGGAGCCTCGAGGTCTGTGTGGGCAGAAACAGACTAGCAAGCACCTTTGGTCCAGCTGTGAATCACCTTCATCCCTTTCACTGTTTACAAGCATTCTCACTGCCCTTATTCACAGTCCAAGGCCCTGGGTCATCCTCATTAGAAAGATAAAGAAGTGAATCTCAGGGTCAGGAGGCTCACCCCAGTGACACGCAGAAACCACCAGACTCCTCGCCCCCGCTCCCGCCCCCCACCCCAAGATCCCTTCAGGTAAGGGCAGTTCCATTCCTGAAGTTGAGCGGGTCCACACCTTTCTCAGGTGGAAAGAAGGAAATGGTGAGAAAAGTAGTTTACCATCAGTGTGAGAAAGTTAACCTCCTCGAAGGCACTCTCTTTTATTATTTTTTTATTTTAATAGTTTTGCTGGCCTATCCTTCGCCTACCATACAATTCAATGGTTTAAATGTGTGGGAAAGAGTTGTGCAATCCTCACCACCACCCATTTTTGAATATTTCTTCATTCTCATACTCATTCTTATTCACTTCCCCATCTCCCCACCCAACCTACCCTACCATAACCCTAAGGAACTATTAACCTAGTTATTGTCCTCTAAGTCACTTTCACTTTTCCACTCCAGATTAGTTTCTCTGTCTTCCAGTGTGTGTGAGGGGGGGGGGGGATGGAGAGTGGCTTCCCTGTCTAGATCATGTACACTTTGAGAATGGAGCTGGGTCCTCTCTCATTTCCGGGACCTCAGTGCTTTGTATAAGGAGACCTAGAGGTGCAGGGGCCTGGGGGTTTGGGTGGTTACCCTCAGGGTCAGACCCACCAGCTGCTCCCATAAAGATTTACAATCTCCAGACCTTCACTACTGTTAACGTGAGTTAGATCAACCCCCTGACAGCAGGAAGGATTGTGTCTAAAGACTCGTGGGTGGAAAGCGCTCAGCCACTAACGGAAAGGATGACATTTCAAAGCCAACTAAAAAATCCAACCCAACAGAGAGGGGGTGTGGAGTTGCTTCTGAAAGTCACAGCAATGAAAACTGTGTGGAGCCCAGAGCCCAGGGATGCCCTAACACACACAGGGCCAATCATGAGTCAGCGTCGACTCAACAGCAGCGGGTTCGGTTTTTGCTTTTTAGGCTTTTGCACAGTAGCTCGTGGCCGGTGCTCATTAAACAAGTTCTGGTGAGTGAAAGAAAGGATACAGGGAGGCACAAACGAATGGGGCTTTCCACCGCGCACCACACCAACATTCCTGCAGCTTTCAGGTTTGGGTGGGTTTTTTTTTTTTAACAGATAAAATGACAGGCTGTAACTACCCTTTGAACAGATTGCCAATACATCCTCTCCACTACTATAAAAAAAGGTTTCACGTCATACATAAATCTCCAAAGTGGAGAGGGCTGGCAGGTTAATTATAGACACAAAGAGCAGAGGCAAACGGCTATGAGGTAAGCGCATCTAAATGTGCAGAGGCGATGCCTCCCCAGGGCCAGCATGTATTAATAAGTCGCAAGGGTTGACCCACACGACCAAGTACCACTCAGTGCCAGCCTGGGGAAAGGTGCAGGCCCTGCCATTGAGGAATGCTGCTGGTGGCTGCGAAGACCACGTGCACCTCAGAGAATAATCAAAGGTGTCTGGCAAGACATGGTGTGCAGGTGAAGGGGAGGGCTAAGAACTGGGGCGCCAGCTCCTTTAGCCCATGGACCATTCAGAAGAGGCCTCCCAAGTGGGACAGGCCCACCAGGAAACAAGGGTGACCCAAATCTCTCCAGACAACTAGTCAATACTGACTCCTGGTGACCTTGAACGTCAGGGTAGGGCTGCCCCTGTAAATTTCCTAGAATGCAACCCTGGAGAGCAGAAAGCCTTGTCTTTCTCCCTCAAGAGTAGAGGGTGGTTTAGAACTGCAGACCTTTTGGATCACAGCCCAACGCCTAACCACTACTCCCCAAGGGCTAAAGAGATTTCCCGGCCTCCTCTTAAAGAAACTTTGAAAAGGCCCTGAATTTTTCTCCTGTACCTCCTATCTTCTTCATCAGGGGCTACAAGGCGGGACTTAAGTCAAAATGACCTATAGACACTTTTCTGGCCTGCTTAAGGGGAGAGTTTGGGACGCTGGGGAGGGGATTTTGAGCTGTGATTCAGGAGTGGATGAGGCCAAAGAGTGAATGCTGGGCCTTCGGGCAGGGTGTGGCCACCAGCCTCCGAGCTTCTGCTCCCAAAGTCAGGCGCTTGGGGGTGGGAACCCTCAGCGGGACATCAGTGAGAGTTGGGACCACACTAGATGGGCTAACTACTATGTTAATGAGAGGTTGTCGGTTACACACACACACACACACACACACACACACACACACTGGCCATCTGCTCCCTTGAAGCTGATTAACTAGGAAACCCCGTTGAGCTGTTCTACCCTGTGACCACAGTCCTCTGGGGTCACTAACAGAACTTTTTTTTGGGGGGAAAGGGGGACACCTCAAAACAGATGGCCAAAACCTGGGCCTCCACATGCGGATCTAAGTCTTCCGGGTTTCCACTGTGTTTGGGAGTGCTGGAGTTAGAAGTCTTGGATCGAAGTTGAGCCCTTTCAAACAGATGAGACCCTATAATTGTTCAAGCGCTCAGGCAAACATGCGCACACACCTAAATACACCCCGTCCGATCCCAGGACAAGCTCCCGCCATTCCCTGGGGGGAAATGCGGCTGGTAGGATGATCCTTCGAGAATGTCTCATGCAATGACACATGGCCACCACCCGTGAGAGAGAGAAAAATGGCTCACAAGATGACTTGGGGGCTTGTTTATGTTTCCAAATACCCAGCTCTTCTCCTAAAGGCAGAACGGGTCAAGTCCCAAGGGTAAGACATTAGAGGTTTCGGGGGTTGCAGTTAATCGCACAGTCACCGGCTCACCCAGTCCCCCTCAATGTCCAGGTCTTCCCAGACGCTTCCAAAGTGCTGTCCGCCCCCAGAACCGCCGGAAGGACCGCGAAGTCCCATCGATCGCCTGCGCGATCGATCTGCAGGGACCCCCTTGGGCTCGCGGTTTCACAAAGGCGCGTCCACTCGCGGGCCGCGTTTCCGGGGCGCAGGGACGAAAACTGGCTGCTCTTTCCCCACCGGCCCCTCCCGGAGCGCAGAGCCCGGCACCGGGCGGTGGCAGCGGCCGGCCGAGGCGCGCGCAGGGGGCTCGGCGCACCGCACGCCCGGCGCACCTGGACGCGCAGCCCGATCCTGGCTGCGCACTGGGCGCCCGCAGCTGGCATCCGCGGCCGCGCGGACGAGGACTCGCGACCCCGAGGCGCGCCGGCACCTAGCCCCGGGGCGTCCCGATCGCTCGCTCGCTCTCGCGCGCGTCTCTGGCCGCGCTTACCCGGGAAATGGCGAGCGGCTGCTCGAAGTCCTTGCCTCCCAC